TGATCTAAAGTTTCAGCATCTGTTAATTTACTAATCAAGAAGTGTAAACTGGTGTTTAAATTATTTTCAATCGTGTCAAGTTGCTTACACAACCAATTATAGGACCCAAGTGTCAGCTAACTTTTCTCCTGTAATCAATCTTTGGTAGGTGAGTATTTAAGACCTACACTCCAGATTTTAATATGGACAAGGCATTGCAGCATTGGGAATGACAAAACCGTACACTCACCAGATAGACCAAAAGTATTTCAATGCCAGACAGCAGCTGATGCAGCATATTGTAACCAATGGTTCTTTGTTGGACTTTGTATTAATGTTAATCTTCCAACAAGCTGAACTGTTTGTCATCTTCCATCCTGAAACCCACAGGACATGAATGGGAGCCTTTTCTAGAATGACCAGCATCTTAAACAGAGCTGAACAGCACAGGGTTTTCACATGTCTGATGGACACTGTAACAGCAGCAGCAAAACTTACATTTGGTGAAAAGAGATGCAGTGCTTTTGAGCTCCGCCATTCTTAAAGACCATGTTACATCCTAGGAGCTTACACTGTGTAACAAGACAAGGTAAACCCAACAAGTATTCAGTTTTCCAAAATATAAATCAATTTATAGAATCAAAGTAAAAGAATTAAAAATAATTTTAGTCTTATATAAATTTCTAGAATATTCTCTTAGATATACTTTTAATTTCACAGTATTCCAGAAATGATGCAAAGGTATACCAAATGAAGGTTCAAATGTGCTTATGTGCTGTGCTAGCATCACTTAAGGAACACCAAAGTTCTTGAATGACTTCACAATAGTCCAGCTTGGTACTATCTGTTTAGAATAAATGGTTTTTCCTTTCTGCGATTTCAATGAACAAATTATAAATAAATCTGATTTCCTCTCATGACTTTTGCAGAACTGAATCACTATCAGAAATTCCTCATTATTTAAATTATTTTATTGTAAAATATCTCAACAGTCAAGGTCTCATTTTTTTTTAATTATAAAGCCAAGCATCAAACAGGGCAGTCATTATGTATCCATAGTACATATCATGATATGTTGACATGACCTACATTCAACTAATACATAGTGTGCTTAGACTGAATTAGTTGTTGGCATGAACTTAGCAAATCACCTTGATTTATAAATGGGTAATGTATTCTTCTTATTAACCTCAATGATTTAAATAAGTATATTATAAAACTATATGCATAACAAGCACTTTTATAGCCAAAATACAATCATAACTAATATTCTCTGATCTCCTCTTTGGTGGCTATGTTGAGGAAATAAGAAAACAAGGCACCATTGAGACCTATTTCTGTCACACAGCCTTTAGTAAAATCATCAAATAGACTTCCCATGGATACAACAAACAGGAAAGCAGCACTTCCGACTTTACAAGTGTAGAACACAGTTCTCATGAATGAAATTGGACAAGACTTAGAGATGAGACGTTTCTCTCTATTTCAGCCTCTTTATAAAAAGAAATCACATCATTCTCACACAGCTGTTGCCAGATATCCTTGTGTGGAAAAAGCTTCTTTCTTCACTGCCAAGAGGGAAAGTGTTTGACACAATGATCAATGGACACAGAGGGACTTAGCATCGCCTTCACTGCACCTCCTCCACTTTCCAGAGCCCCTTGAGCAACAAATGTCACATTCAAGGCATACACTCTGCAGAGAGAAATCAACATACATCTCAAGAAAAGTGCAATAGAAATTGTTCACAATGTAAACTCACCAGGTTTCTATTTGAGACTTCCTGGTCGGAAGACCCATAACACTCTTGATTAGTCAAAGTCCTAATTGAACATAATCATTTAATTCTCACCTCTTGGTTCAAAATGAAAATACCAAGATAGGTTTGAAATGCAATTCTGGACAGATACTCCGTAGTAAATGTGGACCCTGAAGGTGTATATCTACACATCCCCATTCACCAAACCTCCAGAAAGCTCATGTGTTTCACTTGCAAGGACACCATTTATTAATGTAAGGCACTTAACTTACATTAAGACTCAACGTCAGTTCCTGAGTCGTCACATATCTGATGGACCACCTTTGTGCCTAAAGTGGAATCTATCATGGGTGCTAATCTGACTGAACAAGATCCCATCTGAACCACTCTTGAGGTCTTCTTTGGTTTACCTTTCATATAAGACCTACTTCTTACTAGTAATAGCAAACAAAATCAGCAAACCCGACAAACCTGCAGTTCAGACAAGAATAATCAGTGTCACCCATGATGTCACATGCTTTCATTGTCAACAAGAGGCTTCGACTAACAAATAAAGAGAGGCACTCCTCTTTTTAAAGCAGATCTGAGAAGAGAAGTGTGCATTGAATAAAAATGCTTGGGTGAATATTGGCTATTAGCTTGTGTGCTGGAATATACACTAAAGGCTTATGACAATCTTACAAGCATTGTGTTTTCGTATGGTTACAACGGTAACATCATCAAATCTTGTATTGCAGCTTTAGACTGAAATCGGTTGACCCACGGATGTCGCCGTTCAATATACGATTACTTCATACACATGTGAAAAATATCTGGGTTTCTGAGTTGAGGGAGAAACTATATGGCTCATATTATCCTGTTTTAATAAAACCCAACAATGTTTAGGACCAATATCTTCAAGATTCAGTATTATTCAGATGATTTGCATATACGATGTTTGCAACTAACGTCGGCATGAAGGGTTAAAGTATTCACAATTTTCCGCCATTTTATAGCCATTAACAATATTTTACTATACAAATGATTGTGGGTGGAGCTTGGTGAACGATCACTTCATGTAAGCTAAATTAAGTCTACATATTTTAGACAAGTAGTCCTACCGTGTAATGTGAAGAAACCGCGGATAAATTATATTTGCCTTTGTGTCAGTTGCAAGATATATAATCAAAAAAATAGTTTGGACTCTATCCATTCGAACATGAAAATGCTTATCGGATGAAACTGAGGAAATTTTATTGCACAAGCTCTGTTGTATGAATAGTCGGTTGCCATTATCTCAAAATCTTAACATTTAGCATTTAATTTAGCTAAATCAAAAGTGCAAACACTTGAACATGTCAGGCTCAAACGACTTTAAGTCTCTCACGAATTTAAGATGCCGGGGTCTGGGAACCCTGTTGGATTTGAGTGCAGAGACGTTAATTGACGCTATGAAAGAAAACGATTAGGCTGCGTACATTAACATATATTTTCAGTCTGCAGTAGGCATGATATGCACCGTATCTTGCACGTGTTCTTACAAAGCATTTCACGTATTATTGCACCACACTATCTTCGGGAGCTCATTTGACCATTCAAACACCATATCGACCGGTTCATTTAGGTAGAGATTAATCATGTGATTTTGTTTTGTTTTGTGTTTTTTAAATTCTTGTACAAACTTTACTAGCAATTGCAAACGATGATAATGGGTGCATCATGGACAAATTAGGTCATATCAGTAGGACCAGCAGATAATAACTTGAGCGCCCTTTGAAAATATCACGCTTATTTGATGCCGGACCCAGAATTCTTGACAGCCCTGCACAAAATATGACCGACATTTTAAAAAAATATTGAAATCATTTAAACGACATTTAGAAAGAAACAACAGTCGTTTGAATTTGACCAAATTTGAACACACACACCCAACAAAACTTTCCTAACATAAAATACGTTTAAATCTGATAAAATTGCGCCAATCCACTATCAAATATAGCTACCGATCCTAAAATTCGAAGAAACAAAAACATTTAATAACTTCTCATCAGAAGTTACCATATGTATCCAGACTTCAGGGGCTTGATTTTTTTATACAAATGATGCCACTAAATATGGCCACATTACCGTGATATTGCTAGATAAAACCTATAATGTTTTCCAAAGAACAAAAGGATACGGTTTATGAGCATCCAGAGCAGCCGCTTGAATAAGGGAAACTACCTGTATTTTTTATAGTCGCGATACTTGCGTTACCGGCAGGACTACCTGTATTTTTCATAGTGCGTTACCGGCAGGATACGGTGACAGTCTACTAGAATCGATTAGTTTGCATGTAACAGGGGTGAAATGAATTCAGTTTTTTTTTCCAAACCAAAAACTATAGTGTAAGCAAGTTTGCACGTACTTTTATGGTTGCACTGGTTTGCACTCGATACCGCACACAATCACCGTCTCACTTCCCACCTGATTCAAATAGCAGTATGGTTGAATTGCATTTCCCAGACACTCTTGAGTTCACATTTGCATACCATGATGAATGCCTAGTCTGGAACCAGAGTTGATGAATGCCCCGTGCCGAATTCTGTCGAATAAATGCTCATTATTTGTGGGGATCAGTAGTCTTCTTGGTATAGATACATGTTGAGGTTATGGGTCGCTACCTCAGTGTGTCCTTAGGGGCGGCAGGTTTCCCGGCATGCTACCTTATGGTCAGTAATGTGTTTAAGTGTAGATAGATCCAATATAAAATCATTCCGTTTTTGAAATATTTATAATCTTTTGATGATATGCCCTGGTCAAAATTGCGAGTTAATTATTCCGCATTCTTAAGAAATTGCCAAGACTTTGCCTGACCATACAGTATCTGCATTAAGAATTTGTTCATATCGATATCAGCAAACAAAGACAAAAACAACTTTCCATTCAAAGTTGTAAGTTCTAAAAGTAAGTTGCACTTCATTTTATTTTGGTCAGTGAGAGGGCAGTATTCCATTTAGTGATTTGCACTTGCATGTTAAGAGGGTGCTTGCGTGTGTGTGTGCGTTTGTGATTTAGATTTTTAAGGTAGCTTTAACAATTTTTCAGTCTTATCGCTACGATGTCTGCAGTGTGGCAGTTTATAGTGATGTCTATCACTGGGGCATCATGCAGCAGACATGAAGCATGATGTTCCACCCAGTTACATTATCCTGACACCAGGCCAACCAGTCCTTACACTAAATTCTTAATGCTGAGCGCCAAGCGAGGCAGCTGTTAGTACCGTTTTTTAAAGTCTTTGGTATGACCCAACCGGGGTTCGAACCCACTACCTCCCGTATCCGAGGCGGACGCTCTAACCACTTGGCCACCAGAGCTTTTAAGCGGGTGCAACATGGCTATGTCGAGCGGTAGTGTGGGATTGGGAAAATGGTCTGGCATTCCTTAAAGGTATCATACAAACAACTTTGGATAGGCATACAAAGCCGAATGCCTGAGCTAAACATTGGTACCAAATTTATTACGTTACGCAAAATCTAGCTTGAAAAATTGGCGTTTATTCTTAAATAGGAATCTCTAGAAAAGGAAAGTAGTGTCCTCCCATGTATATATTATATTAGTACATGTAAGACAGGTAAATGTAGGTCAGATTGACTACTTTTTTGCCCAATTGTATTGAATAGGATTGTGGGGCCCCGGAGAAGGCGACTCCGTGTTAGACTACCGCGATTTTTTTTTTTTTTTATAAATTATCGATTCATGTTTTGCGTTATTTTAAAAATATCCTCCAAACAACAACATGAACAGTAAGAGCAACCTCGTCGTAATAAGCAACAAGAATAGTGAACACAACGAAACATTTTAATTTTAAATATTAATTCGGTTCCTTTTTTGAACCCACATCTGCTGAGGCCGATTTGCTATTAAATGTTAGTCACAAATGTGCCTTATTTTCATCCAATCTGCGTGTTTTTCGTGAATTATCATTTTGCAATATTGCAACAATTTTCTTCCCGATCTATGTACGATAGGATTCCAAGGAGGTCCAATAGAAAGGAAAAGTACAACACCAAGAAAGAAGAAACAAAAAAACAAGCAAGCCAAAAAAAAAGCAAAGAGTCAAATTTGAGCCAACATCTACGGTTTCACTCCTATAAACCTTTTAGTATAAACTTCATGTTCTTAAAAGTTGCATGTATATTTAGAACAATTGTGTGCGAGAGAGAGAGAGAGAGAGAGAGAGAGAGAGAGAGAGAGAGAGAGAGAGAGAGAGAGAGAGAGAGAGAGAGAGCATAACCCCAACTTTTTAATGCATTGTAGATAGGATCGTTTAAGATGAGATAAGTGATCTGTACATCATATAATCTTGGCTATGGTTAACATTATATCGAAGAATATGACGTCATTTTTTTAAGCTGCATAAAATTCGTAGGATCGAGAAACCAAAACACCGAGGTAAACCTGGGATCCAACTCGGGACAACGTAGATACAAATCGAGTGCATTACCACTACGCTTGTCCAGAGCCCCTGGCCATTATCTCAGTTTAACAAAATTAATTTGGATATGATGCATATTTATGTCCTGTCACATTGTTTAAAATATCATGACTCCATTACCAGTACATTTCACAGGATTCTGTTAAAGTAGAAATTACGCGAGAGTTAATATTTATTTACTTCGACGCCGACCATTTGAAGAATACAGTGCCTTAGATATCACGTACACCCTGCTAAGCTTTAAATGCATATGGATATCCCACTCTATTAGCATTTATTGAGCATTTTTATAGTTTACATCTTCAGATTCATAGAGCGGGTGGGTGGTGTGTGTATGAGCCGTGCATATAAAGTCAACCGTTTCGCACATTTCATATCCACGTCTCTGATAATTTATTTAAACGTCCTGGTTCAGAACTAAACATGTCAGTCATGCGGTGGTCTTCGCGTTATCTAAGTTAACCTACACTGTATTCAAATATTTAGAACGTCTTCCGATATACACAGATTACCCAAACCACAGGAGCCTGCAATTTTATCAATAAAGCACGACGAAATTTCTGACTCTTTTGCTCAAACCTACATTGAGTAGTTTTTGGTCGTTAATTTTCCGCGGTGTTAAAAAGACGACCATTAAAAGATCTCTGGTGTGACTTGATGCTTACCTGAGGTAATGTAAACAAGGAATCCACACATTTAACTCATTAACCCCTAGCGTTGCGTTTACGGAGCAGAAGGTGGTAGCCTACTTCTGAGCTCTGTAGCGTTAGGGTCATGTGCAACACAATAAAGTGGGTGGTATTATTGAAAGGTAGACAGATGTAGCTTTACGATGACACCAAATAATATGGATGTTCTAATTGCACTACAAAATACAGAGGTAAAAACGTCACTTTTGGACCAGAGTTTTTTCCAGTCTAAATTCTCCCGAGGTCGTGATCCGGTTTTGTGTCCGGATGTTAGACGTTTTGGTCTCAGATCTAAGACAGACCAGTCTGAATTGCACAGACACGTGAACATTTGCAAAAAGTAGGATAAGATAGTCATTTATAATTAAGAATGGTCTCGACAAGAAAATGATGGGTCCGTTAAGCATAAAAAAAATAAAAAAAAGAACTCCAAATTTTATCCTTCTGCTCATGCTCAGGCTCAAGTTTCAAAGAAAACAGACGTTTCTAACACAAATAGGCATCAAGTTAACCGAAAATATCATGGAAGTCGATGTATTGTGTTCTATTCAGAAATATCTCCCAAAATCGATTTCCTACTCGCATTTCAGGCGAAAACGACAAAAACCTCCAGGGGTTAATGATTTGCTGAATTTTCACTAACTAAACAGTTTTAGCAACGGTCAAATGGGATGGTTAACTTCTCTAGTCCTGGTTCAATGAATTTTGTTTGAACATAAGACAACAAACTTTAAAAGCAAACGCGTTACGATTGAGCCATTCACACAATTAAAAAAATGGCTTCTAGTTAAGTTTGTGTGATTTGGATTTTTAACATCGCTGTAACAGTTAACGTTTGTAGGAGTCTAGATAATAGGACATTTGGAATTGCTAGAAATACCAAACTGCCATTTTTGTCACGTTATGCGGTCAATGTTTATAATGTTTGTTGAAGCCTACTTTTGAATACAGATATATTTTAATGTTTTTGGCTTTAGTAATTAAATACATAACGCATCGCAACTGTTAGAACAAAAGTTTCATGTAAAGGCGTTATTTGCAACGGATTTTTAACACAGTCTCAAAACAGTTTTTTTTTTTTTTGGCTGATCGAGTGGTTGCATAGCGGCACATCATTGCAATAAAGACTATATAGTGCCAAGGGAAAGGATGAAACCTGACTTGCCGAAGACACACAACAGCAGCCAACCCGGTCTTGCCTGAGTAAGATTCAAATAAACAGTTAGTACATGTGACTTCAGGATTTTCTAGAATAGATCAAAGTGTCTGTCTACAACCTGTTTTTGTCCTATAACTTATTATGTGAACTTTCATGACCTATGTGATATTTTCCCTAAATAATTTAATTTACATGTGTGTGTGTGTGTGTGTGTGCTCGCGCGAGCGCGCTGGGGAGGCAGTAATTAGAAAACGATGTCGATAAATAAGCAATGTTCCAAAATAATAAATACTGAATGAATCTGGAGTTTAGAAATGCATTTTATTTTATCCACAATAATTAAAATAGTGTTAAATAATTTTAACAATTAAAGCATATTGTCTACCATACGAGAGTTCAACTGATATGGTTCAACAAATGCCTTTTTAAAAACTCCATCCACAACTACTAGTAACTGACCAATCACATGACAGCAGTGACTGCTGATAAGACATAATTTATCTTTACAAGCAAATTAAACTTATCTGACCGTGTTTCAATTTGATTATATATATATATATATATATATATATATATATATATATATATATATATATATATATATATATATATATATATTAAACATCAATATATAAAATAATAAAACAACAAAAATTTTGAAATGTATGACATTTTTATGTTAAACAAAATGTGGTAGGCCTAAACTATATCACAATTTAAAAATTATTTAGAAATGTAAACAAATACACGAAAATTAATACGCTTAGTGAAGTGAGAGTTCGTGGTTTTATTTGGAATGATAAACTGAAAATGAGTATTACAATGGCCACATCAGTTCGTGGTATATCTTAATACTGCAATCTTGGAAGAGCTTGGGGCAAATACTAGTGTACATGTTCGATAGTTACCTGATGACACCAAAGTAATTAAACTGAGAATCAAGTTTGTCATACATGTGACTTGCTACACAAGGCATGTCTTTTTTTAATAGTTGCGAACACTATCGTGTTTAATACTATAGCACACAATTGTATTTAATATTGCAACATACAATTGTATTCAATATTGTAACACTATTGTATTCAAGAAAACCTCTCACGTGTTTTTAAAATAGCTCACTATCTGATGAATCAGCAGAAATCTGAAAGTTCATTAAGAAAATCCTTCACCCTTTCAAAGAGATTCCAGCAAAAAAAATACTTATCTGCTGGCTTGAAATGGATAGATCGTTATGGTGATCTTTTTACAAACAATTGTGCTGAATAAATAAATATATATATATATATATATATATATATATATATATATATATATATATATATATATATATATATATATATATATATATATATATATATATATATATATATTTCAAATGTGCTTTGGTTATATAATAAGGAACTAAAAGACTATAAAGAATATAAATCTGTTTAAGAAGTCAGAGCAGTTTTGTAATTTGTATCTTATTTTTTGAGTTGTTTGTTGATAAAGTTAGATAAGGTTCAGTGGGCCTGTAATATACAGGTCGATAAAGTCTAAAGTCAAAGTAAAATTTATTTATTTATTTATTAATTTATTTATTTATTTAAGGAGGGGATAAATGGGTAAATAGTATCTTGTTGATTTTACGAGGTGCTGCTTATTCGTAAAACGTTTAAACAACATTCTAAGAAAATGTTTTATTTTTTAATAAAAAAATTTCTAAAATAATTTAAATTAAGAAAACAACAAAAGAAATTTTATATTGGGGATATAATGGTATGCCAATAACAATAACCCCCAGCATTGGAAAACAATTTCCCACATTGCAAATACAAATTAACAAACACGCCTCTGGAAGGATGATCCCACAGCTATAACTCATAAGTTAAGACAGAAACATAGTAAACTGTACAAGTTCCGGTGTTTTTATACAATTGATAACTTCTCCAACTACAATAACAACCATGTCATGTCAAACATCCATTTCTCTTATTTGGTTGTATTATGTTCAATAACGTCCTATGATATTATTAATATTCCTTGTAATATA